CGGAGCACAGGCGCCGGACGCGCAGGCTCAGCGGCCATGGCTCACGGGCCCAGCCGCTCCGCGGCATGTGGGATCCTCCCGGACCGGGGCACGAATCCGCGTCCCCTGCATCGGCAGGCGGACTCTCAACCACTGTGCCACCAGGGAAGCCCACAAATAAACATTTTTTGAAAAGAATAAATGGTGGTGACCTACTGAAGGTTTTAGTGACATGATCAGAAGGTAATGTAAGAGCAGAAAGATGGGTTGGTCAGGGGAGCAATGCTGGTGAAGCAGACATGTTTCAGACAGTCACCATGAGCCACTGAGAGGCATCTGAGGACCCAGCTTATTGCAGTGACAGTGGGGATGGATGGAAGGGCAGGAGCAAAAAATATTAACAGGTTTATCAGAGCTTCTAAAGAATTCAAATGGGAGAAATCAAATTATCATTAAGGAAGTTGAAAGTGAAGAAAAAGACGTTTTAAAACCAGAAAGATCAGGTTCCAATTCTAGATCCTCTGCTCCTGGTGACGTGTCCTTGGGCACATCTCAGAGTGTCGGTTTCCTCATCTTTAAAAGGGAGGCGAGAATATCTGTTTCTCAGGACTTTTGTAAAGTTCACATGAGATAACCTATCTAGAAAAGATGATGCAAAAGTTCAGGAACAGAGAATTCACTTTCTTGGAAAGAATGGAAAAATCTTAGTGTTGTCTACAAAATCATTTTGCTCGTAACCCTGCTTTATGTAACACATGCAAACACACACACCCCTCACTCACCACATTCTAAGGTGACCAACAAAGGCAACTTAAATTGTTCTTCAGTTCGAGGAATGACTACAGAAATAACAAGCCAGTCAAGTGAACTAACGCACAAGTTTCAAAAGGATTCCTTGAAGTTTTGCGTTGCTTTTTCAGGTGTCATGGTGATTTCATAGTCGACCAAATTCAACCAAATTTGGCAGATCGTCAGAAGTTATGAATCTCATATTATAATTATTATTAGGATTATGTGGTTATTTCTGTGCTGGGCTTACTGATTACCCTGCACGTGTCAGCTGGAAAATAAGAGTTTCTACACTTGCACCAAGTCAGAGAGACAGAGGAGTGGGAGTTCTCTGCCTCAGAGCTGAGAGTTTTGGTTTTGGGCTTTGTCTTGACAGCCAGTTCTGTTCTCAGACAGCACACCATAGGCTCTGGCCTGGTTTGTGGTTTCCTTTCTACCAGATGAATCCACGGTTCCCAGGGTCTCCTGTCTCCTCCTTTCAGATCTCATACGACAGGAAATACCTAAAGAACTGTCAGGTTTCCTCATTTCTTTTTTGTGAATACCAAAGAAAGCCAAAGATGTGGAAGGTCGAGAAAACACCATCTGTTTTTACCAAGTATTCTTGCATGGTGTTAAATGACACAGAGACCTTTGCTGTTTACTGAGATAGGAAAGTTTGGGGGGAAAATAATGCAAATTGTGCAGATTGGGGTGAAGGAATGGAATTGGAATCAATCATTTTATTCTGGCTACGTATTAGAAATCCAAGAAGAGAGGTATTTAGCTGTATTGTGAGGGTGTCGATTTTGTTGTTATTGCTGTTCTTCGTGTTATTTTCAAGTCTGGCTGGTAAGAACTGCAAAAAGCAGATCAGGGCTACCAAACTTGGAACCAAGTGCACGACCATCCGGTTAGGATTGGTCCCAGGTTTCAGACTGAGGAGCAGGAAATTAAGGGCTTGGTTGGGCAGGTCCTTCGGTAAGTGACAAAGAATTTACAAACGTATTCGTGAAGAGAGCAATCCCCATGTTTGATGTGTATGCCAGGAAAATTATTCCAATCATTGAGGATTTCATGACAGATAGGAAGCTACAGAAATGAAGGGGGACTGGTAATAGGATAATAGGGTAGCCATAGGAAAACAACAGGAAGGTAGACAGAGCTGGGAGTCCATTCCCTGCTGACCTTTATCCCTTCTCAACAGTGTGGCAGTCACATAATTTACCTACAAATCAGACTCAGTTGGGTTCTGGGGACATCACTTATGAAGACAAGCCATCCTTGTCACAGCTCCCTTTGAGAGAAATGCAATTGTGCTTAAAGGAGTCCAACGCTAACCACAAGACAGGCAAGAAAAGGCACTGGACTGAGAATCTGAAACGCAGGTGTGTGCTACCTCTGTGGTTAACTGGCTTTGCAAAAAGCCACTTGCCATCTCTGGGCCCCAGCTTCCTAATCTGAAGTGTGGACATTGGACTAAATTTGTCCTAAAGGCCCTTCCTGTTCCAACAACTATGAACCCATGATTAAGAGAATTCAAGCGTCTGTCATGGTTGCCCGAGTACGAGGGGGGTTGAGAGTTAGTAATAGAGAAGGTTTTCTTCGAGGTCCCTTCTGACTCTGTGACACTGTGAGATCCCAGCAGGCACAGTAGTAGGTGGCTTCATCGGGCTTGACAGCATTATTGATTATCAGGTAAATGATTCCACTCTCTTTCTTATCTGTCTCCAAGCTGGAATTAGGTTCATCCAGCTTGTAACCGTCAGCTGAGCCATAAAGGATTCGCTTCAGGGGCTCCCCTTCTTTCTCTTGATATCAATGCACAATGGCATTCTCCAGGGGAACCCCAGACAGTTTGCAACTTGTGTGCGCTGTTCTGTCTAGTCTTCGGGGAGGGAGAGATGATCCTGAGAAATTCTCATGTTGGTGTCCCCATCTGAAAAGCAAGGGGGACAACCAGATGCACTTCAAAAGGCTGACGCTGGTCACAAAAACAATGGAAAGACAAGAAAGGAGAAAAGTCAACCTGCAAACCCAAGCCAAAGATACAAGGAAAATCCACGTGGCTGGCATGGCCAGTGATTAGTAAGAATGGGGTGTGAGTCAGGACAGGACAGAGGACGCAGTGGCAGCCCTGGTTCTGTGGAGGCAAGAATACGGGAGGAAGGTTTGTTTAGAGCCAATGAAAGTCTTTCACAGTAAGATGTCGCAGTGTGATTTTGATCATCTTCCTGGTATAAAGCTTTCAGAATTCCGACAAGCTCATCAAAACACATTTATGTTATAATCATTTGATGTTAACATCACCTTGGGAGAAATGGTCTCCTACTTTTCCTTTACGTGTTGCTTCAAACACACTTATCCTTGGGCTCGTTTTCACTTTGTGAGTTATAGATTTTTTGTATGGCTCTCATGAGAATTAGAAGGATATTATCATTACTGTAGACAGTAATACATGAATAACGATCCCACAGCCTTATACAGAAGGTTGTATATTATATAGATCATTAGTTTGCAGAAAGCTCACAAAGTTGGGTAAATACTAACAAATACTGTAGTTGTTGCTTAGGATACTACGATGTTATTATATGACATTTCTTCATTTTGCTGTGAATGAAGAAAATTGTTGAAGGAAACAAAATCCCCTTGTTTGCAAAAAACCCTGCAATTTTTCCCATTCACCATTCTTAGTTTGTCAGCATTAAAGCTATGTTTTTCTGTGGTTTGGAGGACAGTGTGAGATGTGACTTTTAAAGGGGCCGCTGTGATGGCTCAGTGAAGTGGTTTAGTCATAGTTGGAAAGGACACTGTGCTTTGTTGAATACCCTGCTGAAACTTTCATATGTGAACCTCATTCAGTCTTCAGCAACCTATACAGTTGTTAGCACCATGCCCACTTAAAATTGGGAAAACGTGGACCTAGAGATTGTCATACTGAGTGAAGTAAGTCAGACACTGAAAGACAAATATCATATGATATCGCTTATATGTGGAACCTAAAAAAAAGGTATAAGTGAACTTAGTTACAAAACAGAAATAGAGTCACAGATGCAGAAAACAAACTTACGGTTACCAGAGCATAAGTTCTGGGGGTGTGGTGCGGGGGAGGGATAAATTGGGAGATTGGGACTGGCATATACACACTACTATGTATAAAATAGACAATCAACAAGAACCTACTGTATGGCAGAGGGAACTCTACTCAATACTCTATAATGATTTATATGGGAAAAGACTCTAAAAAAGAGTGTGTGTATATAACCAATTCACTTGCTGTACACCTGAAATCAACTATAGCCCAATGGAAATTTTAAAAAAATAAATAAAATAAAATAAAATTGGGAAAACAGAAATAAACAATTCAGTAACTCTCCTATATCACCCTATCAGTGAGTGGCTAAGCAGGAGTTAGAAACCCAGTCCGATGTCACTAAAAAGGACTTGTATCTTCCATCACTCACTCATTCATTTATTCATTCATTCTTCTTTCCAAGCCAACACATCAGGTTCAGCACTGGATTATGGCTTCCTTCCCAGGAGGCTCCCATAGATGGTGAAGCAGAGACAATTTGGGGCACTTACAAACCGTACCAAGACCCCAGAGGTAAGGATGGAGGATAATGTGACCTAAATGAAAGAAGCCTCACGGATCAGGTCCTTGGGCTACTTGCTCAGGCAACTGCTCAGGACACACGTGCAGGAGAAAAGTCCTTTATGGGAGGCAGAAAGGAGGAGGGGTGTGTGTTTGCACAGGTGTGATGGCGGGGGAGGGAATTTGTTCAGTGACAGCGGCGTCCTTGCACACCGTGTATCCCAGCAGGCGCAGTAGTACAGTGCCGCATCCTCCTCGGTTGCTCGGTGTATCCTGAGGCTCACCAGTGAATTACCTGGCCATTTCCTTGCTTCGTATCTTTCCTCACTAATCCCTTCTTTGTGAACAACATTTTCATTGGAGGAAATATACAGAATTCGGTTTAGAGGCTGCTCTGGTTTCTGTCAGTACCAGTGGATGTATGCACTCTTCTTTAACATATCTGTTTTTATCTGGCATTCAAGAGATGCCGTATTTCCTTTTTTCTTGGTAATGGATGTCATGCGTTGTGTTATTTGAATATCTCCACTTGTGTCTGAAAGAAAAACAAGAGGAAAAACTAGAGAAGTTTTGATGTTCATTAACATAGTCTACATGTGTTCTCTCCTCATGAAAAGCCTGGAAACTGATGTTTACATTTTCTTCCCAAAGAATTCAAGGTGATGATGAAATTTGTCAGCTTAGCTTGAATGACCACGTGACAAGTGTCCACCTGGAAGGGGTGATGGGACTGTCCGTGAGCTATCCCCTCCCTTGGGTAAAGCCACTGACATGTCCAGAGGGAGGCCATCACCAAGACCTGAGGCAGGAGCACTGTGCTGCCAGCTCTAGTCAGGAGAGGTAATTGAAGACTGGGAAGACTGGGAAGACTGCAGAGCAAACCGGAGGACTGATTTAGTAAGAGGAAGTGGTGCTTGGAACACACAGCTAAGACCCATAGACTGCAGAGAAAGGGGCTCGTGGTAATGCTCAAAACATCCTGCGGAAATAGGTCTGCTCATTCATCAGCAGATTCCTCTCATTACTGTGTGATTTTCACCAACCAGTGGTGTTAGTGTTAAGAACTCATTTTCTTGTTAAAGGACTGAAGTCCTTTATTGGTCTAACAGAGGGAGGGAGAGGGAAAAGGAGGGAGAAAGAGGCCTAAGTCCACACTTGACAAGCCTCATGGGAAACTTCTAATCTAACATCTTTGACGGTCACTACAGTGCATCAGGCAATCTCAGATGTAGGCTAAAGGGTGCAGGGGTATAATTCCCAAAGTGACAGCTTATTTGTGTATGATGCTGCTCTATTTTTTTTTTTTTTTTTTGAGGTACGCGGGCCTCTCCCATTGAGGAGCACAGGCTCCGGATGTGCAGGCTCAGCGGCCATGGCTCACCGGCCCAGCCGCTCCATGGCATGTGGGATCTTCCCAGACCGGGGCACGAACCCGTGTCCCCTGCATCGGCAGGCGGACTCTCAACCACTGCGCCACCAGGGAAGCCCCAACACTCAGTTTTGAACCCCCGTTTTGCTCCCTGTAGTGACCTAGTAACTGGTTACCGAAATACACTTTATCATCTGCCTTGCCTTTCATGTTTCCTTTCCGTACTGCCTGCACCTCCCAAATAAACTACTTATACTCATATCCCAAGTCATATATTCTGGGGAACCCAAACTAAGATAGGTAGGTATTGATGGA